GCCAGGAATACAATGTAAAAAAACAACACTACCAGGTATGTTAATATCATAAACAGAAAATACCAAAAACACTGATATAGCAAGAGCCCTACGGCGGAGGCCAGCCTTTGCATCCTCCGGCCAGCTTGGTTACCGCGACGGGCGGCTGGAGTCGCCATGCTGGCATCGTTTTACCATATACCCCTGGAGATCCTAAGGTCCTAAACCCCAAACCCTAAACCCTAAACCCTGAGCCCTAAACCCTAAACCCTGGAACCTAGACCCTGAACCGAAACCCGAAACCCTCCCTGTTGAGGGTCTTGCAGCTTGAGGGCTTTTTGCTGCTTCAGGCTGACGAGGATAGCTTGGTTTCGGGCTTGGGATTCATGAGATCCTTTTTCTCGGTGGCGGAAGCGGCGGTGGGTTGGGCCCACTCGCTTCGCGGCGCATGTTTCTGAATCCCTGATAGTGACCCGCACAATCGTTTAACAACACCATGGTTGTTGCCATGTGCCATGCTACTGCGAGCACCTGCGTGGCGCTGCAGGAGACGAGCAGTGGACATCCCGCCCTATCCTATGGGCAGCTTTCTTCTGCTCAGCTTCTCTACGGATGTTGGCATGTCTCACGGACAAGTTGATTTCTCTTGAGCAGAGCTCCCAAGTTCTCTTGTATATATGAAGGCTCATGCCAGCAGCTAGCTTGGTTTGCAAGACGGGCGGCTGCATACGGGTTCATCTCATTCCAGATGGGTGTCCCTGAGCAGGAAGGTTCCTGTAATTGCCGAAAGTCCTCAAAAGAGCGGGCCACAGAATTTTCGGTTGGTCCTGCCAATCTGTCTTGCTTGGTTTGCGCGACGGGCAAGGTTTTCATGGCTGCTTGGAGTGAAGCTTCAGTTCTTGAGTCTGCAGATGTCTCAAAGTCTTACGCCCCCCCCGACACCTTAAACTCCAAAGAGCCAGATCTTTTTCGGAACATGGCCAAATCGGGCAGACCCATGTCTGCTTCAGAGAGACCGCCTCAGTTTGATGGGGGACCTCTGGAGGACTGGTGTCAAGATTGTTCCACCCAGACAGTAGCACGGCTTGCTTGGTTGGCGCGACGGGCAGCTGTGCTCTCCCACGTCCACTTCCCTACCGAGTGAACGCCATGAGTTCGCAGTCAGCTTGGTTTCAATGACGGGCGGCTGCCAGAAGCGAATGCCTGAACTGATGGCAGCGTGTGTTGGTTCAGAGTTCATGAGGCTTTGGTTCTTCCAGCGCAACTGTAGTTCAGTAGTTCCGGCATTTGCACAGACACCTTCTTGCAGGCCATTGCAAGATGCCGCTGGCCAAATCGACCACAAGTCAAATCCTTTCCGTGCCCCTTTTGAAGCCATAGAGGTCAGTTCAGTCTTCCACGGTGTGTTCCGCCTGGTCCCGTAAACCCTAAACCCTAAACTCTAAACCCTAAGCCCTAAACCCTAAACCAGATGCACCTTTCTGCCGGTATCGGTCGTCCTGCGCCTGACGCGGGCCAGAATTGGTAGCCTCATAAACCTTCTCAAGCGATGCATTGCGAAACGGACCCTTCGGTTTTTGTTGCTGGTCGTTTTCGGCCACGGCCAACGATGGCAGCTCGCTTGGTTGACGCGACGGGCAGCTGCCGAGGTTGCGACGAAAGTTCGCGGCGTATCTCTTCACGAGCCCACAGAACATGAGAAGCAGGTCTAAGTAGGTGGCCGCTGCAAAGGCATGAAAAGGTCCGAATCGTACATATACCCATGTGAGGGAATGTAAAAGGTTTAGGAGACCGGATCAGGATGCCAGGTGAGCCTGAATTGCTGAAGCATAAGGAAGCTGCATGATAGCGACTCTCTTCAAAGTGTTACCGCAGTAGCATTGGCTCTACACATCCATGTATGGAATGAATCTGATGCTGACCCTAAGTCTAGTGCTCTCAAACCCAGACCGACTTCATCGCCTTGAAAATTTTCTGAGCACGCAAGAGTTTGGGGTTTAGGGTAGAGGGTTTAGGTTGTGCCGATGGAGAACTTTCCTAACATCGTAATGGGGGCTAACCTCCTCACCACCACGTCAGTACCTGGGCAAGTGGAGAGTTCAGTGGCTCTTGTTTGCAAAAGAAGCTGCGGGTCAACATCAGAAGCGCCGGGCGTATGAGCTTTCTTGTAGATTCAGAGGGTGGGTTGGAGGGGGTTTTGGGGCTTTGGACTGTGTCCCCGGCTGTGGTTGCTGCTCTTTGCCTCAGCTAGCTCCACACCCTGCACCCACTACGTCGTTTTATCCCATCACCTCCCCAGCACAGGAATGTTAAAAGCATCGGGGCAAGAACTTTGGGAGTTCGTCCCAGAGTCTTCGGGGTTCGTTCAAAACGTCGGAGAATGAGAGCTCTGCATGATTGGGACTACTTGCCTTGCTGATTGCCTTTGGCCGGTGTGCGACTGCCAGATTTTTACAGTTTATCCTGGTTCTTCCGTAGGTGCTTAGTTTGGTTGCATATTTGCTCCGTGCTGCAACAAGTGACGAGCGCAAAACCTTCACTGCCTACACTGACTAGAGTTGGCTACACTGATTTGCTGAGCTGGCACTTCTGGAATCACAGAGACAGCAGCTGCGGTGGAGTGCTCTTCTGCATCGGCGGTGGTAGGGCAGGCGGTCCACACACAAGGGAGGCGGCAGCCAAAGTTCAGCCAAAGTTCTGTCAAAGCATCGACAGGATTGGGGTTCATTCAGGGTGCCTGTACCCTGCTGTGTGGATTTAGCTGATTCCTCCATGGCTGCAGCAGTGGAGAATTGAGACGTGGGCTTTGGGCCGAGAAGTTTGCCCTAAGGCGTCAAAAAAGGAACCACATCTGCAAGAAGTCAGCAGGGTCGGCATTCGAGTAACAGCTGGAAAGGCATTGGCGCGACGTGCCAGTCCTGGGTAAGGGCAAACACCAGGTGCCGAAAGCCCACTGCAATGGATGCCCGTTTCCTGACTTGCCGTACATTTCAGTCAACGGCAGGGAACATGTACGGTGTCAGTTGCAAAAAAAGCAGAACCTTAAACCCAAGATCCTTCCGTTTCCTGCCTTGCCGTAAATTTCAGTCAACGGCAGCAGGAACATGTATAGTGTCAGTTGCAAAGAAGCAGCTTGTCTCGCATTGCCACCACCTCATAGAGTATTCTGTTGGTAGCAGCTGCAGCTGCAACCCAATTACAAGCGAGAGCCGACACACCGGTCGTAAGAGTCGGCGCCCAGCCCGAGAAAACATCAGTAAAGCATACCAAGCACGACGTGGAACAACGCAAGGCAGCGCAAGCAGAGAAATCTTAAAAAGGCAATATACGAACGAACATGGAACTCACACACGCGCACAACGTCGAGCCAAGCATAGATGTCACGACACAAAACTCAAGAACAACAGCCAGCGCTTGTTCACGTTGTTTGTGTGTTTTCGCCTCGTAGCTTGGACTCTGGCGCCAGCAGCATGGAAGCACAAGAGGCACGGCAGCAAGAACCACAGCAGCAGAACTAGTGATGGAAGGCTGGCGGTAGCACCAGAGATCCTAAGAACCTACGTGAGTTCATGCAGTGGTAGTGCCCCACGACCCCCTCATGGATGAGTTAGCGCAGGAAATCCCGAAAATGGCAAAAGGCGGGACATCTCTTGCGTTGACTTATACGAGGCTTAGGGACATGCCATGAGACCAGAGATCGGCTGCTTCACTCGAGAAGAAGCGTATGTGGTGCTTGTGATGGGTGGTGGTAGGTCTCGGGCATTGTAACTTTGTAAGCTGCAAGCTGTGCTCATGGCTTTCCCAGAGGCCTCTCAATCCCGATCGAGCCTTTACAGGCAATACCTAGCAATACCCCTATGCGCACTGCGTCCAGTCGACTCACTCCAACTTGCGCCCCTGGTACTTAGTACGTCTCAGTACTCAGTTGCATGACTTTTGCATCTCAATGCCGGTCGACGCAATTCGTTCCTGGTTACCTGACGCAGCTTTCCGGGCACATGTGCAACCCCCTGCATCGCCCTCGGTTGATAGCGTCTGCAGCGCCAGATGCAGCGGCACATGGGCGTTCAATGGAGCGCCGCCCCCCAAAACATCAAGTCACGCACCCTTGACAAGTTTCCCGCGTGAGGAAATTTTTGAGGCTAAGACCTCGTGGTCAGACGCGACATTGTGGACTCAAGATGCTGGCCTTAGTTGATTTCCCGGATGCAGGCTTGGGGCTTCTGAGGGTTTAGGGCCTTTAGGATGTGGAGTTGGAGGGCTGAAGTCTCCTGCTGTGTTTAAAGCACAGGAGAACGGGATCCAAAGAACCTTGTGCTGCAACCCAAAGTGACCTCAACAATCCCCCAAAATCACCCCATCAGGTCTTCGACTTCAGGATTTGAAAGGGTCATACTGCAACTCAGCATCCCATCATCCCTGAAATGTTTGACATGAATGAAGCTCTGGTTGCTCAACTTCTACAGACCGCGAGCTCTTCGCCGCCGGCTGGGCGTTTAGCTGAGCCACTGCATGGCTCAGGCATTCTGGCAGACGACGTGCCTGATTCAAAAAGTCGAGACTCGCACCATGCGGAGAATGTAAGCCCTGAGCCCACACACTCCTTGGACCACTTGGCAAATCATAATGTGTTCAACTCTGAACAGCTGCCTTCTAGGTCACCGGACTCTGCAATTCCTTCCCTCCCCCTCGCCCCCGCACTCGCTCTCTCACCCTCTCGCTCTCTTTCCCTCTCTTTCTCTGAGTCTTGGTCGTTATGGTGAGTCTGATTCGCATGCGACACGCTAACCGCTGCTGTCATGTGCTTGCTGCAGCTGCATGTGCAGAACTGAGGCCTCTACCTAGTTCTCCCCCATGCCTTATTCAACAAGGAATGTATGCCGATCGAGCTCAACAGCTCTTGCAGTAGGGATGACGCTCAGATCCTTCAAACGAATGTGATGTTGTTCCGCACCTGCCAATCCTAAAATCCGCATTGAGCATCGAGTGCTTTCACACACTGGCTCCTCTACCTTGGCATCATGGCGCTTGCTACACGCCGCTTGACCGCACGTGGACGCGCCGGCGCGGCCTGCATCGGCAGCCTGTGTAAAATCTGTACTATGCCATCACCCTAAACCCTAAACCCTTAACCCTTAACCCTTAATCCTCAACCCTCAACCCTCAACCCTCAACCCTCAACCCTAAACCCTAAACCTGCCTGAGGCTACACTGACATGAAGTTCCAGCCTGGTGTTGCTTGGCCTCAGCTCTACGAAACTTCCGCTGCCACAACTCCGAAACCGAAAGCCCCAGATCTCCCGAGTTACTATCAGGGGGTCGGAAAAATTCCTAACAGCATTCCCTTACGGTCCTTTCATAATTGTACTATAATAACCCCCCCCCCCCCCCCCCAAAAAAAAGGAAAAAAACAAAACCTATTCTAATACAGTCGAATTGGATTCTAATTATTCAGGCCCGTAGACTACCTGCTTTCCGAGGCCAAGCTTGCGCCCGATGCGAACTTGTCGGACGTGGCGACGGTGGACGCCTTAACTTCCTCAAGGTCGATCGAGATCCTATCTATTTATCAATCTTACACACATATTATAAAAAAAAAAAACATATGTATATTAGTTTATTTATTTATTTGTTTATGTATTTATTTTTTTATTTATGAATATGAATATGCATATGAATATGAATATAAATATGAAGATGAATATGAATATGAATATATAATATACATAAATACATAAATACATAAATACACATAAATACACATAAATACACATAAATACATAAATACATATATACATATATACATATATACATATATACATATATACATATATACATATATACATATATACATATATACATATATACATATATACATAAAAACATATATACATATATACATATATACATATATACATATGTATGTACACATGTGTTTTCTGTATATATGTATATTCTAGATACATCATGCATGCAGAAAAAGACTCACATACGTGACGATGCCCCCCCCCTCCCCCCCCTCCCCCAAAGACCTACCCGTCCCAGCAGAAAAGGCCTCAGATTCCCAGATTTGCGAAGTTAAGGTGGCAAAATCTCGGCATCTTCAAAGTTAAGGTGTGGGAATCTGGGAAGTTAAGGTGCTCAAGTCTGGGAATCTGGAATCATGGCCATGGCTAAATGACAGAAACTGACTTCGAATACGTGACTTACCGCCAGCCTCGGTTTAGGGTTTAGGGTTTAGCGGTCTAGGGTCTAGGGTCTAGGGTCTAGGGTCTAGGGTTTAGGGTTTAGGGTTTAGGGTTTAGGGTCGCAAGAATCGTGGCCATCATGACGAAAGGGTGCCAAGAATACTTCTTGATTGTAATTATTGCGGTTGGCAAGCAGCGAGCACTTGGCCGTTGGCCTTCGTTGATGTACGGAGGTGTCCTTTTCACCATACTTGCCCGCCTTTCCACTAAACCCTAAACCCTAAACCCTAAACCCTCAACCCTCAAGCCTAACTAAGCCCTAAACTCTAAACCCTAAACCCTAAACCCTCAGAGCTGCTCTGCCAAGGAACGTGGCATCGAGTTCTTCCTGGTTGCCTTCGTTGACCTGAAAGGCGCCTTAAAGAAGTTTCGGATTCAGAAGTGGGCGTTAAGTTTCGGGTTTCAGCGGTTTAGGTGGACCCCATGCTACCGAAGCCCCGTCCTCCCGTCACTTAGTATGTAGCAGTTCTTGGTTGTGCCAGGCGTGCTTCGGACGAAGATGGTGCCAGCCAGCGCTATCAAGCAGATCCAGCGCGACGGAGACGGGTTCAGAATTCCTTGGAGAACCGCCCTGAACTGTTCGCCTGAACTTGGCACGTTCCTTCCTGCCTGCGATCGCCGGTGCATCGCTGGCTACATCTGCTCGGGTTTCTGGGCAGGAGCTGGATTCGCCCCTGCTGCTACTCACTTGGATTTTGGCAGCTTGACTGCAACTGTAGCTTCGCCCTTGACAGGTCGAATCCATGCAAGGTGCCCGAAAATAGAAGGGCCCCTGGTGACTTCTTAAAATTGGGCGCTTCAGGGAACATGCGCTTCTCGCAGCCCGCTGAGAGCACAGCTACGTCTTGCTCTTAATGGCGCTGCTGGGATCTCCTGCCCCGTGCTACAATGGGTACCTGAAAGATGATGCTCATGCAAGGGAACCTCCGAAGTAGCAAAAACCCAACAGCCTCCTGCCACCACTGAAGCCCTAAACACCCTATATAAGGCTCCCTAAACCCAAAACCCTAAACCCAAAACCCTAAACCCTAAACCCTAAACCCCAAACCCCAAACCCTAAACCCTAAACCCTAAACCCTAAACGGCTTGAGAAGATGCCCAATACCAGGTCCCCACGCGGCGGACATGATGCTGGGCTTCAGGTTGAAGTTTAGGGTTCAGGGTTTAGGGTTTAGGGCTCAGGGTTTAGGGTGTAGGGTTCTGGGTTTAGGGTTTAGGGGCCCAAAAAACCACGTAAACATAAGGATCCTACTATTGGGACGGTAGAAGGGCCCCTATGAGGGGCTTTCCGAAAAACCTTGTTTGTAGGATGGTCCTTATGTTTAAAATAGGTGGCTTTTTTGGGCCCGGTAGGGTCCAAGTTCATATATAATTCGGCTCCTACGGGTTCCTATTAAAGGCCGAGAAGGCTTAGGGTTGAGGGCTTTTGGAGGTGTTGGGGGTTTTGGCTGTTTGGGGTGGTTTGGGGTTTTGGGTGAGGGGGTCCGGTCTGTCACCGGTTTGTTAACACAAGTCACCAAGAGGACCCATAAACCCTATAAACCCTGGGGGGGGGGTGATAGCTGCAGTTAGCGTAGGTTTTACCATAATATACTAACCATAACATACCATGATATGCTAGAATAGGCCACAATATATCATAATATGCCAGAACATACCATAATTGTCCATAGTCATAAACCCTTTCAGGCTTTAGAGCACTTGGTTGGGTTGGCCTGTCATGCGCTGAGGATTGCTAAGCCTGATGCAAGCACTCTGCTGCAGGCGCACGGCGGTTGACTGCATGGGTCCAGGTTGTGGGCTTCATTTTTGATGGTTTAGGGTTTAGGGTTTAGGGTTTAGGGTTTGGGGTATAGGGTTACTGTTTCAGGTGCCCTTTCAGCCAGAGCTGGCTGTGGTCATGGGCGACTGCTACATTGAGGGCACCTTGTTTGCAGACGGTGTCATGTCGGGTCTACGTGTGCAGGCATACTATATACTATACACTGTACTGCGACAGCAATGGCAGGGTTGAAGCTGCCATAACACAGCATTCCGTGCCAGAAAAAAACGGCCGGAGTCGCAAGTGTCTTGGGCTCAGAGCTGAAGATTTGGGAGCTAGAAACTGTAGCAAGAAGTGGCCAGCATGTACCGGCTCCTGCCCTTCAAGCTGGGTGAGATCAACTGTGGACTGAACCTGCTATGTCAGATCTCAGGGACCATGGTGGGCCTCATTGGAGCAATGCAGAAGGTCCTTTCTGCACCGTACAAGGACACCGCAGACACGTCTGCCATGGACAACCTCATCACGCAGGTGCTCTATGGCAGAGTAGTTCCCGGCATGTGCATCACGATGATCTTCGGCAACTTCTACTATGCTTGGATGGCGGTCCGACTGATGCGAAAAGAGAAGCACACCAACGTGTGCACTTTGCCGTATGGCATTAACACACCTGCAGCTTTTGCTTTCGTGTTTAGCATCGTGTCGAAGGCAGCACAAACGGCAGCCAATGAGGGGCTGGGTTGGGAGGAGGGCATCATGCATGCCTGGCGAGTCGGCTGCGTCGCCAACCTGGTCAGCGGCGCCATCGCGACGCTGTGTGGCTTCGCCGGGCCCCTGATCGTTCGAGTGGCTCCCCAGGCATCCCTGATGATGGCCCTTGCCGGCCTGGGCTTTACTTGGCTTGGCTTGGCGCAGATCATCGAGGTCTTCAAAGCAGGCCACTTGGGACTCCTTCCGCTGGGCGTGGCACTGGTTCTCTTCTTCGGCGATGTAAAGACGTCACCGCTTCCCTCCGCCATCATCGTGATGCTTGTGGGCTGTCTGACCGGCTGGCTTTCGTGCGAGGGCTGGCCGGAGGGCTCTGCGAATCCAGTCGGCGGAACCGGCCAGGCGGTTCTGGATGCCTTCGACAACTTTGGTTTCTACATGCCGGCTTTCCTGGATGGTGCATCCTTCTTAGCCATTCCCCAGGTGCTCCTGGAGAACATGGCCGTGATCCTTCCTGTGGCTTTTGTCGGGGCCGTGAATACGCTGGTGAGCGTGTATGCAGCGCACTCGGTGGGAGACATGTACCCCATCCGTGAATGCCTCGTAGTGGATGGCCTGACAACCATCGTCGCAGGATTGTTCGGCTCTCCCTTTGGGACGTGCGTGTACTGTGGACAGCCGCAGTTTAAGGCCCAAGGAGGCGTGATCTACTACTCCTTCCTGAACTGCTTCGCGTTCTGCATCCTCGCTGCCACGGGCCTCTTCGCGGCCATCAACGCGTTCATCCCGCCCTGGGGTATTGCGCCCATCATCCTTTTTGTCGGCCTGGCCATTTGTCAGGACGCCTTTGACATCATCAAACCTCGGCATCTTCCAGCTGCAATCATTGGTCTCTTCCCAGCTGCGGCGGACTGGATCCTGTCCATCTGGCCCCATGAGCCCAAGCCTCCGGCTGGACTTGCGGCCTTGGCGCATGGTTCCCTTCTTGTTTGCATCGCCTGGGTGGCCATGGGTGTCTTCCTCATTGACCGCAACTTCCTGAAGGCCGCGATTTGGGCACTGGTGGCCATGTGCATCGCAGGCCTGGGGCTAATGCATGCGGAGACAGCTGACCTGACCTTCAAAACCTTCGCCGGAGCCCCTGGCCAAAATTTCGGCACGTCAGCTGGTGGCTACATGATGGGCTATGCCACCCTAGCTGCTCTGTTCGGAGTACTGCTGCTGCTGCGGCGACTGGGCTGCTCACGCATCCCGGGCATTTTCGTGGAGAAGGAGGACACGGCGGAGCAGGAGGCAGAGGAGATGGCAGAGAGATGTTTGTCTAGACAGCACAGCCATGTTCGCATGGCTCTCTTTAACAACATGCCTGCGGAGGGGCACCAGCTCCACGAGGATGAGGTCAGCTCGGAGTCCAAAGATTCGGAGCCCAAGGGGGCCGATTGCGTTTGACCCCACTCTGTGAACCGGAGTTGCCACAATGACACTCCAAGTTCCGCGTGCTTGGGACCACCCTCTCTGCTAGGACGAAGATTGGTGCACCTGTGCCACTCCGTCATCTGGCTGTTGACAGGGCAAACTGTACACGGTATTTGTGCTGTTTTCGCACTTTACGCCACACTATGCACTACTTTCTTTTTTATACTGTATACGCTTCTCTTCCATGCTCTGGCATAGCTGGCATACTGGCTTCGTAGCATGCCTGTTGTGGTGATGGCGGCTCTGTCCTCAGCAGGGGGGTGAGCAAGTTATTAAAGCATTGCTTGAAGCTCCCCAGTCGCGCCGTAGTCGTTCTTCTTGTGTACAGAAACGGCCGGCGAGCACCAGTGTACAGAAGCGGCCAACGAGCCGTGGCAGTCCTTACTGCACAAGTTGAATTGACGTCTTTCTGAAGCTGGATCTGTGGCGCTGTTCTCTCAGCAAGTTCATGCAACTGAGTCTTTGTCTAAGCCACAAACGGCTGAGAACATGCAGCAGTTTCCATGCTTCGCGGATTGAACCGTGGAGGGAGCTGGGATGGTTTGCTTAGTGGATGGGCATGGAGTGCCATCCTGGATCGTAGCCGCCCAAGTTCAGAGGAAGATTGCAGCAACAGACCTCGGCTGAGAACAGCCCAGCTAAGTTGTGGTAGAAAAGGAAGCAGTGGCACAATGTGCCATGGAATGTTCCTTCCTGGTGCGTCACTGTGCGGTAGTAGGGGTTTAGGGTCTTTGTGAGGGTTTAGGAGTGCAGGAATCTCCAAAGCAGAGGCAAAGAGGTTCTTCAGTCTCCACGAGCAGTGCTTCGCAAGCAGATTGCCGCGCTCCAGAAGCGTGGCTACGCCGCCTCCTTGCAACCAGGGCTTTGGGGTGTAAGGTTTTAGGGTTTTAGGGTTTAGGGTTGTAGGGTTTAGGGTTTTAGGGTTTTAGGGTTTTAGGGTTTTAGGGTTTTAGGGTTTTAGGGTTTTAGGTTTAGGGGGGTTTTAGGGTTTTAGGGTTTTAGGGTTTTAGGGTTTTAGGGTTTTAGGGTTTTAGGGTTTTAGGGTTTTAGGGTTTTAGGGTTTTAGGGTTTTATGGTTTTAGGGTTTTAGGTTTTTAGGGTTTTAGGTTTTAGGTTTTAGGGTTTAGGGTTTTAGGGTTTTAGGGGTTTAGGGTTTAGGTTTTTAGGGGTTTAGGGGTTTAGGGGTTTAGGGGTTTAGGGGTTTAGGGGTGGGTTTAGGGGTAGGGGTTTAGGGGTTTAGGGTTGAGGGGTTCAGGGGTTCAGGGGTTCAGGGGTTCAGGGGTTCAGGGGTTCAGGGGTTCAGGGGTTCAGGGTATAGGATGTTCGGGTTCAGCTCCAATAGAATTCAACGAACTCCATGTGTAGGACCCTGCAGAGGGTGGTAGGTGCTGGGGAAGGGTTCGTTTCTGGGGTTTGGGGTTCAAAGCTCAGAGTATGGGTCCTTTTGTCGACGCAAGGTTTTGAGGCAGCGTCACTGGTTGGAGCCGTTGCGTGCACGGTGCCATCTATGGTGGGGTTGAAGCCACACAAACATCGTCTGGGCGTGCAGTGTGTGCATGAAGACGCCGGGGCCATGTCCTGCTAGGAAGAGCCGTGTCCCAAGCTGAGGTTTTCAAAACCGGGGTGGAGGCAAGCCTGTGGACTGCGGTGTGAATGTGCGGCCATCACTGTACTTCAACGCTACACGCACAATGTGATGAGGTACGACTTCTGGACCATGGTTTAGAGAACCGCCCCGCCCTGTGTTTTCAGGCGGAGTTCTTCCTCCTGGCGCCGCAGTCTAAGGATCGCATCATGGGGTGTAGGGTGTAGAGTTCAGGGATGCAGGGACGTTGATTACGATTTCTGAAACCAAATCCGTGGCCATAGCCCCCACTACAGGGAGCGGCGCTGATCCCTGGATTGTGGTGCTCGGACTTGACCATTGAGCCCTCTTGAGGGTTTTCGAGTTTAGGGTTCAGGGTCTAAGGCGTGGAGGGCGACTGGCTGGACATATCACACACACTTCACCACGGTGTGGAGACCCTTTCTATTGTATATAAATTAATTCGTATTTCCGAGTTCAGAGGGCTTCGACACGTTCACTTACACTTCATTCAAACTTCTTTCGGCTGTGATACCGTCATTGTCAATTTCAGTGCGTGTGTCTTGCACGAGTGAACATCTGCGAAACTCGAAACTCGAAGCACCAACTTCCCCCAAGCAGAGAAGTGCTAGCTGCCAGAACTCCGAATTCCCAGCTTTCCAGGAATACGTAGGGTTCCGGGTTTCGAGTTTCGGGTTTAGGGTTTTAGGGTTTAGGGTTTAGGGTTTAGGGTTTAGGGTTTAGGGTTTAGGGTTTAGGGTTTAGGGTTAGGGCATGAGCCACGAGGCCAAGTTGCCAAATTTCCGGTTCTGATGGCAGGACAAGCCGCTTGCTGTGTCGGATGAGGGCGACTCCTTGAGCAAGCCGTGCTGTGCCTTGTCTTTATTGAAAAGGGTTTAGGGTTTAGGGTTTAGGGTTTAGGGTTTAGGGTTTAGGGTTTAGGGTTTAGGGTTTAGGGTTTAGGGTTTGATGCCTTTGCCCTCATTCTTCTTCCGGGCGGCCATCATTAGTGATTCTGGTGATTAGCGATGGCTACGGGAAGATGTCAAGCACTCCTTACCATGTGCTCCGGATACTGGAGAGCCTTCCTCTTCTTCGCCCTTTCTGATGTCGTTTCTTTGCGTGGAGTGCGCTAAGATGATGCCCAGTCCATGATGCGGCGATATGCGCTGCTGACCGACATCGTGGGCACCTTAAATCCATGTGCAGCGAGTAGCTGACTACTGCCCAAATTGCCGGAGAATTCTGGGCTGGGGTTGGGAACTTGGGTGACTTTGCTAGCTTTCCACGTGAGGTCTGCGACTTTCTCCAGGCATTTAACGCATGTTGAATCATCAAAAAGATGTGTATAATGAAAGATATGTTTGGCATTCTCCTTCTTCGCCCTGTGCATGGGCAAGTGGAACTGCCACATGACATGCTGGGCGGAGGGATGAATAGCGCGACTCCTTGTCTCATGATGTAGGCTTCTTTAATATCAGGGCACACCCAAGCCGACTGTTCTGTACACGGCCGGCTCCACTGCAGGTTTGCACCCTGAACAAGTGCGGTTTCGGGGTCTACCAGACCGACCATGAGGATGCAAATGGCCAGTTCGAGATCAACTGGCAGTACCAGGAGCTGCTGGTGATTTGAATCTTAGGTGGTGGCGTTTCGGCACAGGGAGAGGCAGAAATGGCCTAGGACTGCATGACCACTGCCGACCAGCACATCTTCTTCAAGTGGACTCTTAGCCTTGACATCTTCAGGTCCTTGGGGGGTGGCCCCGGATGCGATTTTAAACACCAAAGTAACCCTAAACCCTGACCCCAAACCCTAACCCCAAACCCTAAACCCTAAAGCCCCTGCACAACAAGGGCTGTGAAGACACTGGCTGAACGCCACGGCTTCGTGGTATCACCGGCGAGGTTGACAGAAAAGTCGCAGCAGCAGTTGACGAAAGCCCCATCGGCCCTGTAAGCCTTGACCCACAACGCCACAAAGCATCCTTCATCAGGGGGCTTTAGCGGTTAACCTCGACGGGGAGACGGCCCGAAGACTGCCTTGGTGACTTCCCACACCATGCCTGAGTGCTCAAGGGTTAAGGGGGTTTAGGGTTTAGTTAACGGCCATACAGGTTAGGGTTTCTAGGGTTTGTTGCTCAGGGTTTAGGTTTTGGTTTAGGGTTTGGGGTCTGCGTCTGCCATAGAGTGGCGGATCGGGTGGTGTGCCTTGTTCACATTGGAGCAATCGATTGTCTCGTGCTTTGCACTTGGCTGATATTTGTGCTTGTAGCTAGCCTATTCTCATGCAGGGCCGCATATACCCCTCTGATTTAAACGCCCAGCCCTATCAGTTGTGAAAGTATGTATGGCTTACGATGATAAGGGATTCCTAATATAGAATCACACTTATAATCCCCATGCCGTACACCCCCAGAGTCACAGAGTTCTGATGCCAGGCAACCTTCATGCCCAAGCCATTCAGCACCTTCAGCGGCAGAGCTGCAAGCATCAGCATCCGGATCCTTGTTGGAGAAGCATCCTCCATCCATTTAGAGCATCCCCCCCATGTAGAGTTTAGGATTCGAGGTTTGTTCGGAGCTCAAAACTCATGCACTCACAATCCTGGACACAAGCCCAGAGTATGCAATTCCCCGGGCCCTCCCTCGCAGAAGTCCCCGCAAGTATTCTGTAACGCAGCGATGATCCGATGAGATGATGACTTGCATCAGGTCAAGCGGGGTTCGCAAGTATTTCACCACTGCCTGTGCAGCTCACGAGCACCCCATGCACGTCAAACCTAAGGTGGCAATGGATGCCACATTCACTGCTCAATGTGGGCCGGTGAGAAGAATGTTTTCGAGGCATGGCCCGACGTGTCCTGGATGATCAGGATCACGTACTGATGGCTGGCATGACTGAGTGAGCTCCACCATGTCTGGCTGCTTTGGAGACCCGCTTGCTTGCGGAGGGCGCGAACGGAGACCTCTCGGAGATCGCACGCCACTTTTTGGGAGGTGTCCTCGCCAAGGCAGTAGCTGCCCAGTAGCTTCCTTTCCCACCTAGAAGGGGTTTAGGGTTTAGGGTTGAAGCCGCAGCATCCAGACCGACATGTGACGCCGAAACTGCTGCCAGGCACCGGCCTACTGCGTCATCACCAACCCCGTGGTGAACTCCTACAAGAGGCAAAGCCCACCCTAAACCCTAAACCCTAACCCAAAACCCTAAACCCTAAACCCCCAAACCCCCAAACCCTGACACCCTAAGTACTCTGAACTCCAAGGTCCAGGACGGTTCCACCACTTATGATCAGCGTGACACATAGTGGGGGAGGCTATAGAACTTTGAAGTTCAGGGTCAAAGTGAGGTTCTTCTTGGAGTTTAGGTTTAGGGTATAGGGTTGAGGGTTTAGGGTTTAGGATGGTTAGGATGGTTTAGGGTCCTAAATCTTTAAGATTTTGGGGTTGAGGGCGCGATGGTTTCGCCACAGCTTCGGGCCTAGCGAAGTTTCCTATAAGTTCGACGAGCCCCAGAAACCCTGCAGGCCCTCGCAACACTACCTTAAACCCTAAACCCTAAACCCCTAAACGCCCCTAAACCCCCTAAACGCCCCTAAACCCCCTAAACGCCCCTAAACGGCCCTAAACGCCCCTAAACGCCCCTAAACGCCCCTAAACGCCCCTAAACGCCCCTAAACCCCCTAAACCCCCTAAACCCCTATCCCAAAACCCTGAAATAACACCCCAAAAACCCTAGATATCCTCTAAGTCCGGGCAACCCACTCTCTGGGAGGCTAAACTCGTCGCCCACGGGCTCTGGCTGCGCTTGGTCCCCCAACCGCTGCTTGGTCAAGCAACGGAGTGCTTTTAGGGTTTTGGGTTTTGGGTTTTGGGTTTTGGGTTCGTAGCCAGAGTGCTAGGGCTTGTAGAATTCATGCAGGCGTGTATAGGTTATACATGTAGAGTCTTTATTGGGAGTCCTGGCGAAGGCATCTCTTGCAGAACTGAGGCGTCTCATGGAGCGGCAACAACCGTAGTCACATGGAAGCTCGGCGACCTTGATCTTGTCACATGCTTTCTTTCGACTTTGGAATTTGAATACTTTTGGCTCCAGCTTCTGAAACATTAGAATACAGCCTGATATGATCAGATGTGGCAGAGCCATCTACTCATGGCTGCCGCGGAGACCGTATCCCGATGCCGTAGAAGTCGTAGAAAAATACAGTTGAGATGAAAGCTCCTGCAGTCCCTCCTGTCCCAATACCCTAAACCCTCAACCCAAGAAGCCCTAAATCCGCAAAATGCCTCGACCCTTAACCCTAAACCCTAAACCCTAAACCCTAAACCCTAAACCCTAAACCCTAAACCCTAAACCCTAAACCCTAAACCCTAAACCCTAAACCCTAAGTTGCAAAGCCGAAGGCTGAAGCCACGAAACCCGCGCCATTGTAAGGTGCGAATTCCGGAGGGCGATCGGTTCGAGCTCCGGCTCGCAGATGGAGCCGCCTCTTGGTAAGGCTGGTAGGACGCGTCTGGGGCTGTTTAGGGTTTAGGGTTTAGGGTTTAGGGTTTAGGGTTTAGGGTTTAGGGTTTAGGGTTTAGGGTTTAGGGTTTAGGGTTTAGGGTTTAGGGTGTAGCACGGGTCAGCTGAACGCAATAGTGTGAAGACATGCCCACCCCAAGGCCACCCTATCACAACTCACTGCGAAACCAAACCGGAGCCAGCCAAAGCCAAGCCAGCCATTCAAAATCCGCGAAACCGAGCCGGAGCCAGCCCAAACTAAGGCAACCATTCAAAATCACACGTCGAACATTCTTAGAGGATTCTGAAACTAGTTAGAACAGCCCAAGCCTTTAGTGACTGGCCTTCTGGGTTTTCTTGGGGCCATAAGGCAAAGGACTCCCCTTCAGGTTTACGCGAAGGGGACGGTCTGGGCCCAAGGGCCCTCTCGCAGAAAACTCAGGCGTGAACAGGTTGCAGGTTGCGGGTCACTTGGGGCCATAAGGCAAAGGACTCCCCTTCAGGTTTGCGCGAGGGGACAGTCTGGGCCGAAGGGCCCTCTCATAGCAAAGAAGAGGTTGCACAGACAGACACGCCGATTATTTTCAGGAAGGGCTTGGATTGGGAAGGTTGGGTTGCAGGGCCAGGACCAGGTCAGGGCAGGGCCAGCTGGCTGCGCCCAGGACCAGGCCAGGGCCAGGGCCAGACCCAGGGCAGGGCCAGGGCCAGGGCCAGGGCGCCAGGGCCCAGGGCCAGGGCGCCAGGGCCAGGGCCAGGTTTTAAAGGCAAAGGACTCCTCTCGAGGGTTTTAGGGTTATACAATATCTATAGTGACTATGCTAGGCGACTCTAGCTTGGCGACCCCTCAGGGGTGCGGTTGGCAGGCTCTGCAGCCCAGCAGAGCCTGCCCTGGTCTCGCTGAGCGCTCGACTGCGCCCGCCTACCCCAATAGAGCTTTGAGGGGGGGCGGGAGGGTTTAGGGTTTAGGGTTTAGGGTTTAGGGTTTAGGGTTTAGGGTTTAGGGTTTAGGGTTTAGGGTTTAGGGTTTGGGGTTTAGGGTTTAGGGTTTAGGGTTTAGGGTTTAGGGTTTAGGGTTTAGGGTTGAGAGTTGAGGGTTTAGGGTTTAGGGTTTAGGGCTTCGACCAGGGCCACTCCGAACCGAACTATGCACTACAAACCTTGCTGTTCAACAGCGTGTGGTCCCACCCCTTCAGCACTCTGCCAAGGCGAACCCCTACTTACTGCAAGCCACCATGATGGCAGCTGGTATGTGGGGTATGGACACGACACTTGGCGCTTAGGCATGCAGTGCCAAAATTCGCCCATTCCCCTCCCACCGAAGCCACCTCGAATAGCTAGCTGCGTTCTTCCAAGGAAAGCAGACCCTCAGGGCTGCTACTTTCCATCCTCCGTGAACATGTATGCCCGTGCCTCAGTCAAGGGGACAGGTGTTGTCAAGATGTGGGGGGGGGGGGGGGCGTAACTCCGCCCAGGAGGCTGCCCCGCTCCCATACACCCGAAGCCCTCCATGCAGGAGATTCCTGATGGGGCGCCGGAGCTGAAGAACATCGCTTCACTTCCTAGGACTGCCGGAGGGCGGTTTTTGAATACTTCCCGGCACTCGCAAGCTGAACATGGCTCAGGGCTGTCGGGTTCAAAAACCCTAAACCGTAAACCCTAAGCCCTAAACCCTAAACCCTAAACCCTAAACCCTAAACCCTAAACCCTAAACCCTAAACCCTAAACCCTAAACCCTAAACCCTAAACCCTAAACCCTAAACCCTAAACCCTAAACCCTAAACCTAAACCTTGGTTCATGGAGGAACCTTTTGGATGCCATCCGGGAGCTAGAGGCCGACAAAGATCTCGCAGCCAGTCTCGGGGAGGACTGGGAACATGGCTTTAGGAATTAGCGATGTTCAGGGATGTTTAGGGTTTAGGGATGTTTAGGGTTTAGGTATGGTTCAGGGATGTTTAGGGTTCAGGGATTTGTTTAGGGTCAGGGGTTTCGGGGCTTGGGGTTCAAGGGTTTAGGGGGGTTCGTGGAAGGTTTTCTGCCTGTCCAGGATTTCGGGTTGGCGGTTATATCAATGGCTGCAAGCTGCGAGGACTTCATGGTGGCTTTCTTGAAGCTTCAGAAGCTCGCGGCGTGGCTTTGCATGGCTTGTTTCTCTTGTTGCCTTGCTTCGCAAGACTCAGCATGGCTGTGCCCAGCGAGGCAGCGAGCGAGACATGTGGTATTGCAAGTGTTTCTAAGGAGTGGGCTGAGTTCATGGCTCACCTGTCCAGCTTTGAAGTGGACAGAACCGTGAACTGCTAGAGCGCCACGACTGTCTCGACTGCGGATTGGCAGTTCGAGCGGTTCCAGCCGTTCAGTGGTAGTGATGTAGGGCCGTACGATGCCGTGTGGCCGTAGGGTAGGTCGACCAAGCCGGCGCTCGGAGGTGTATTTTGCCGACGCCGCTGAGGTGTAACTTTGAACTTCTGGAAGCCCGAGAGGTCAGCCAGCTTGAGATCGATTTCAGTAGTTAGGTATCAGTTGCCGGGCCGAGGGTCAAAAATGCACAGCATGCTGATAGTTGGGGCCTGACCCCCACACGTTACACCATGTTACACCTTGGTTCTCTGCAGGGCTGCCTATTTTGTTGCGCTTATGCTTCCAGCTTGCAATGGACACATATGGACACATCCGCAAACCATGAACCGGCAGACCTAGCTAGCCCTCCCTCCAAAGTCAGGGGGGTTTAATTCTGCTTACCTATCACCCGCTTAGGATTCGTATTAATTAATGAGCAGCACCATGAGGCTAAGCCGTATGACTCTACAAGGCGCTAACAATGGAGCAGCGGAGCTCAGAAAATAGGTGCCGAGAGAACATGGTCTTGCCACCCGGCCCTGCCTTTCAGGACGTGTCCAAGCCTCATGTGCTGAGACTCGCCGTTTTAGGGTTTAGGGCTTATGGTTTCGGGTTTCGGGTTTAGGTTTAGGGTGTAGGGTTAACCTGTGACGGTTCAGGGTTGAGGGTGATTCTTCGCGGTCCTTCCGAAGCTATGCAGTGCTGGCGGCATGTCGCTCACAAGTGTTTAGGTCTTCACCTCACCTGCAGAGTCCACAGATCCTAAACTCTAAACCCTATAAACCCTAAGCCTTTCCCTTAAACCCCCTAATGAACGCCTAGGCCCTAACGAACCCCAAACTCAACCCTCGGCATAACAACGACAATCCATACTGAGGTTGCCCATTTTGACAAGAGGCTCCTCGCAGGGCTGGTAACCTGGTGTGGGGTGCGCTTCAGAGGGCGGGCTCATTTCGGTATCAGAGGGTGGGAGAATCGCTTGTTTTACTCAACGCATAGTGGGCTGTGTCTATGTGTCCAAGAAATCACAGCAGATGGAGGCTGGTTCGTGTTGACTGTTTAGGGTCCTCGACACTGCGCTCGCAGGCCTCACAGCTTGACGGGTCATTGGCTGAACATGGCCAACCGGGCTGAGTTTCAAGAGTCTTCCGGCCGTGAAGCCTTGCTATGTGGCTGCGCGAAGAGAGGGCTGCCCGTTTTGGGGAGGCGTTCCTGCAGTAAGGATTATCGCATTCTGGGTGGGGGTGTGGGCATAATAGTGGTTCACAAGCTCTTGTTCTAGGAGCCGACCATGCCATTTGAAGGCCACATGGCACTGTTCTTTGGGGCAGCTTCTTGTGGCCAACCGCGCGCCAGGACGACTCCCCCCTCTTGACGCCTGAGGTCCGGAGCTCGGCGATTTCATCTGTAATTTTTCTGATAAAGCCGCCCAGGGGAAGACTTGAATCGAAGGTTCTAGTGGGTGTATAGCCTTGGCTTGGGTGCCCTGCAGCAGTCTTTGCATGTTGGAATGACTTCCATTTGCAGGAGTTCCGCTGATAGCTGGATTTAAAGAGACCCTTTTCCAAGCCTGCCAGAAGCGAGCCGCTCGATGCGCGCCGCCCGGAATCTCTGCTGTGGCCTCGTCGAATGGAAAGCGATCGAGGCAAGCGCTTGCAGAGACAGGGCTCCGCAAGCTGACAGATGCAATCAGGAGAGGGCACCTACTGTAATTACATTCTGAACACTAAGCCACGAAGTGACGAGAATCCAACTGCGTGGGCATGCGCGCAGAGAGACCTGGAAATCGCAACCTGAAAAAACTGGGGTGTTGACCATATGCTCCGCCTTTCGGGATACCTTGTATTTGGCTATATGGTTCGGCTGCAAGTACTCTTCTGAAGGAGTCCCGGGCGTTGGCTTCGCATCCGGATGTCAAGCCGAACCCTTAACCCCAAACTCTAAACCCTAAGCTTTGAACCCACAACCCTAACCATCCCCCTAAACCCTTGAAGCAGGCCCGAAGAGACCCTCCCGACGCCACTACCTACGCCTACGCCCTCACCTTTTGTGTGTGGCTTCGGCCTGGGGCTCAGCTCCACTGAGGTTTAGGGTTTAGGGTTAAGGATTTAGAGTAGAAAGAATAAGAATATATGAACCTCCGAATATACGAAGATACGAAGATAGGAAGATAGTACCAAGAATGCTGAGCACGAGTATGATAACGATCATCCTTGTAATGAGATTTATAGGGCTTGAAAGCCGGGATTTGGTCTTTAGGGGCTGCAGGGCTGATGGCTGGGGTGTTATCATCTACCACGTGCGCATCGGTGATGTTGATGGTTTTGATGACCTCGAGTATCCCAAGCCCTATGATAAACCTTAAAACCCCTCCTCTCTCTTAAATAACCCTCAAACAGATCTTTCTATACAAAGATATACACATATTCTAAAGCCTTGCAGCCTCGAACTGCCTAAAGCCTTGCAACCACAAATCCACAAGAGTCGCAGGCTCAGTCTGGTGGGGCAGGTCCTTCGTGGGGAGGGGTCGTGTTCATAAGAAGAACACACCCCGACCCCCTGTCAAGGCCCAAAAGAAGGAAATTCACAAACGCCCTGCCTTGAGAACCCACAAGCCTACCATTTCGAGGCTTGTCAGAAAGAACTCCTTACTGCTGTCTCTTATGTAAAATATCCAAGAAAATAGGCTTGGGGTTCTTCAGGGGACCTGTTATTCTCCAATGCCCCCAGCTGGGCCCACAGCAGCTTCCGGTGAAGGCGCTTCCCCTGCCGCGGAGAAGTACCGCAAGATCGAAAAGGCCCGGCCGGGCTGACTCATGTTACTTTCTGGGCCAATCCCTGAAACACAGGTGCAAGCCCTAGATAAGCCATGGAAGAGTCATGGGGTGCAAATGTTGGGGGTTGGGGAATCCAAACAATCCATCGTGATTAGCAACAATGCTTCGAAACCTAAATTGAAGCCCTCTTAAGCCCACTGCGGCTTTGTTAAAGTCGGTGCCTCCACGAGGTCGGCGTTGGAGCCTACGGAAGTGCCCGCCACCAAGCCACATTGCGCAGCCACATTGCGCCTCTGGGTCTTGGGCAAGATCTTGGGATGTTCCCCCTTATACCAACAGTCCTTAATAGGGATTCGAATAGGGGTACAATAATTTCTAGTGAGGATTGTGAGTATGAGGGGGAACATCACAAGCAAGATCTGTCGCCGAGTCGCATCATTCCCTCGAGTTCTAAAGCTCTCGCGTTCCCTGACATTTGCGGCTGTCGTTACTGAGTACGTATGCTTTCGAACCTTAAACCTCTAAACCCTAAACCCTAAACCCTAGACCCTAAACCCTAAACCCTAAACCCTAAACCCTAAACCCTAAACCCTAAACCCTAAACCCTAAACCCTAAACCCTAAACCCTAAACCCTAAACCCTAAACCCTAAACCCTAAACCCTAAGCTTGGTTTTGTTGAGGTTTTCAAAGCAGAGAACACTGAGACCAAAGAGATAGTTGCGATCAAAGCAGCGCCGCGCCCCGATTCCGCGCCGGCCGAGTTCCAGTGCTGAGTACGTGGGTCTAGGGTTTATAGGGTTTAGGGTTTTGGGTTACTGGCTTTGGGGGTGTCCAAGGTCGAGGAAGGAAGACCCCGTTTGGGGCGGATTTCCTCTTAGTTTGCTGCCTGGATCTCAGCCTTTGGCTGCTTTTCTGGCTGCACCGTAGCTGTCTCTGCACCCAAAATGTCTCTGAAAAGCTGCAGTTTGCCCAAGTTCCCACTGTTCTCCAAAATGTCTCCTAAACCCGAAGTCCTAAACCCTAAACCCTAAACCCTAAAACCTAAACCCTAAACCCTAAACCCTAAACCCTAAACCCGAATTTTCAGGCGAGAGATCAGCATCCTACGGAGCGTCCGGCACGAGAACATCGCCGGGGGTCTCAGCAGGCTCAGGGCTGCAGGCTTTGGGGGGAGGGTGGGGAAGTTTAGGGTTTAGGGTTTAGGATTTAGGGTTTAGGGTTTAGTGTTTAGGGTTTAGGGTTTAGGTTTAGGGTTTAGGGTTTAGGGTTTAGGGTTTAGGGTTTAGGGTTTAGGGTTTAGGGTTTAGGGTTTAGGGTTTAGGGTTTAGGGTTTAGGGTTTAGGGTTTAGGGTTTAGGGTTTAGGGTTTAGTGTTAGGGTTTAGGGTTTAGGGTTTAGGGTTTAGGGTTTAGGGTTTAGGGTTTAGGGTTTAGGGTTTAGGGTTTAGGGTTTAGGGTTAGGGCTGTTTAGGGTTTAGGGTTTAGTGCTTAGGGCTTAGGGTTTAGGGTTTAGGGTGAGCAAAGAGCCTCACCAAGCCCTCAAACCCTTAAAATCGTTTGAAGCTTTCCATAACCCCCCCCCCCCCCCCACCACCCCCCGCATGCAACCCTTTCTAAGCCTTAAGATGCCCTGTCAGGTGCAGATGCACGAGATCGCCCACACCACGGGAGGTGACCCCCTGATCGTGATGGAGTTTTGCCCGGATCTTGGCGGACACTGAGGTTCAGGTTTCAGGGGGCTTGGGGAGGCTTAGGGGCTTAGGAATCATGGTTCAGGAGACTCTTGGGACTTGGAAAGACAGGAGCTAACGCCCTTTCAACCGAGCCCTTGTCAGAAATGAACGAAGGCTGCTTCGTAAGTATCTGTGCCGAGGCATATCTTATGGCAAATCTCGCGATTGTCTTGAGCATTCCGAGCAGATTCGGTAGCTACAGCTAGTTGGCTGCGACACGAAGGTCAGGCGTCTTTACTGGAACTGATTCATTCGCCGAAGCACGACCTGTCCTTCAGCGAGATCAAGTACATTATTCGACAGGCGGGCTTTGAGAGCAGTGCTTCATTCGGCCGGGTTCGCGGCCTTTTTGTTTAGGACTTCCAGATTCGTGTGAAGGGGAGGGGGAGGGAGTTGGATTCCTGCCTCCTGGCTGCCTGCGCATTTCTTCATGCATGGATCCCATTCCGAGTGGCAGGTCCTGGATGCCACAGGCCACCTGCATCAGCGAGGCCTCGCGGCAATGGAGAGGTCGACGAGTTGAAATGCTTCAGGGTTGAAAGGCGAAGGCTGCCAACAAAGGGTGCGAACCAGGGAAGACAAGGTGCGATGCTTGTCCTGAAAGGTGCCCATGTTCCTGTAACACCGAAAAGGCAGCTTTGCAACGTTGGCTCTCTAAAGTTCGTTGAGCCTTGACATCTAGCTGCCGTAGACATGTGTTGCAGTCGGCGTCTAGCTCCACTTATCTTCGGGAGTGGCGAGGTCCAGCATGGCCCAGCATCAAGAATCTAGATTGCTGCAAGCTTTGAGGTTTCGGGTTTACGGTTTAGGGTTTAGGGTTAAGCAGCATAGAGCCATAGAGTTCCCGATTTGGGAGTTCTGGCTCAGCACCAGGCATCTTGCACCGGGATTTGGCTACCAAGAACGTCCTGCTGACTCCTCGGAGCATTGAACTACACTTAAAACCACGATCGCGGGTTTGGGGTTTAGGGTTTGGGGTTTAGGGTTTAGGATTTAGGGGGCCCCCGGGGGACCTGAAGCCCCCGAACTCCAAAGTCCTCTTCGCCACGGCCGAGTGAGGTTCAACACCTCCGGCGAGATCAAAGTTTGCGACTTTGGGATCTCTCGCGTGGCTTTCGGCCAGGAGTCGAGCCAATCGTCCAGCCGTGGGTCTTGTCTAGTTCAGTTCCTGACACTCACAACCATAAGTTAAACACACTCCTACCCAATTGCCTCACCGGAAGACATGTACCTTTGCCAGTGCGCTGCGTATGTGCGTTTGGGCAGCGCAGACGCGCATCGTGGCGTAGTGCAGAGCCGCGTAAATTCGTGGGGGCAGCTTTGAAGGACGATGGTTTCGGCTTCGTTTCGGCCAAGGCGCCGAACTTAGCTGTGGGAACAGAGCCTCCAGCGCGCTTCTGTCTTGATTTCCAAACGGTTGCTCGTGCTCAGGGACTGGAGCCTCCCATGATGATCGTCTCGCTGCCTTATCGCCTGCAAGCTTAGAGCTCACCGTTTCAGGGCCCGATGACAGCAAGTCGATAGATCATGCAATCAACACGGCCTTGCTGGTTCCATTCAGCACTGGTAGTTGCCGACATCTGCTATACAATATTGTTCCTGAGCAGTTTAGGGCGAAATCTTTGAAGAAGGGCCCAGTACTTTGAGCAATCCCCACATGACAGCTTTGTTTCGGCGACGCTTTGATGGAGCCCAGGCGCCATCGAGCTTCTGATGGGCGAGCCCCTGCGGCAACAGCTAGGCCCAGGCTTAGGAGGGTCTAGGGAAGGGGGAAGAGGTTGTGCCGTGTTGTGGTGATTGGCGTGCCGCTGCTTTGCCCCCAGAGCTTTCAGGCACCCTGCTTGGCAGATCAGATACACTACCACAGTTGGCAACACCAACGCGAAGATGATTTGCTTGCAGAGCTTCTTACTGAGGACAGGCACTATGGCCCTGGCTTGGACATCTGGTCTGTTGGGTGTATCTTGGCAGAGCCAGGCCCTTACAGCCTTCAATTCTCACGGACTTCGATTTCGGTATTTGGGGTTGTGTTGGGATTCTAGATCAGCCCATCGCAGACTCTTCACGCTTCCAAGGATCCTTCTTTGCCAAACAGGCCGACGACAGCCGTTCTTTGGTGGAGACCCAGAAAATCCCAACAAGTGGCGAGCTTAGACACGGGCTTTGCGGGGCGCAGCCTGTGCTCTAGCAAAGCAGTTCTTGCAAGATCAGGGGACACTAGGACCGGTCACAAGGAGCAAATTCCGGTGGACGCACGAAGGACTGTTCTGGCATATGTCGAAGAGATCTTCTCCATCATGGGCAAGCCCACCGATGAGTCGAAAGCCTACTACACTGGCCTTGAGGGCTTTTTAACGTTAAAGAACCCTTTAGGCTTCAGGGTTGTTTGACGTTAAACAGCCCTAAATGCTAGGTTTTTCTGGGAGCGCGCTTGCCTGTAGAACTGAACGTAGGCATGGCTTAGCGACTGCCGCTGAGGACATGGCCAGGTTTGTGCAAGCTTCCGAACTACCGGACCTATGTGAGTGCCAAGGCAGACCGGCCAGGGCTTTTGAGACTCTTGGAATGGTGGGCCTTGATGCCAGCCCCTCTCAGCCAAACCCTGAAACCTTCGACCTGTCGCAGATTTCCAGCGCCAAAGCCCACAAGGAGCAGGGGGATGAGCCGATGCCTGAGCTCACCTGCCCAGATGCTTCAGCCCAAAATTCATCCTTGGACATGCCGTGACGTGTAGGGAGTTAAACTCCGAGCCACAAACCCTGAGTCTGATCCCTAAGCCCTAGGGCGTGGGCTTTACAAGGGCTTTTGCAGGGGGGTTACGGGATGTTTATGAGGGATCGCAGCCACACAGGAGCTCCTGACTGAGAAACGCTGGCTCCTCACCCGAAACATCAGCCCTGGGTTGCGTTTTGGGGTGTAAAAGGTCTCTTAGGTCTAGGGTTTACAGGGTTCCCACCCTTTGGCATAGGGTACACACCCTTAGGTATAGGGTCTGTAGGGCTTACGGGGTGTTGCAGGGCTTATGGGATTCATAAGGGTCAAGGGTGTAGGGTTCAAGGCGCGGATTCCTCCGACGCTTCTTCCGCTCTGGAATTGGCAAGCCGGCAGACTCCAAGTGCCCTGGTGTATCATCTATAATATGTATGTAATAATAGTAATAAAAATAATACTATGAATAAGAATGGTAAAAGTAAAGATAACTGGTAGTGGAAGTGTTGGTTTGGGTGATTGTCGCAGCGTGTCCTGTGAAACTCAAGTAGCTACCGCACGAGCCGAAAGGACAAGACCTCAAGGATTCTGGCTGTGAATTGTTCTGCAACCGTTCCCTGCATCGCACGGGCCTCTCCCTCATCTGCGTCTTGGGCTTCGAGCAGGTACTGCCTCACTGAGAGTTTTTTCGAGATGCTGGGCGGTTTGCTTGCGCCGGGTACACAGTTGCCAGGCCAGCGTGAGCATCTTACCAGGCCAACGTTGCAGGACACCCCATGTCACTCTTAGAAATTTCTCTTGGGTATACACGTGGTCGCCTCGAAACTTGAACCCTCACATGCCATCAACAAGATGAGATCTTGTGTTGCATACCCTGCCAAGGCTATGCCCGAAGCAGCGCGTGACAGCTGCCTGGGACTTGGCTCCCTAAAAGCCTAAGCAGGAGCCTCTAAAACCCAGACCCCCTCAGATCATTCAGCCGGTGCTGAGGCAGAGGCGATGCAGCACCCCTTCTTCACAAAGGCACTCTTGGAGTAGCTGTCCTTTGCTTTGCTGAAACCCTTATACTCTGCTCAAGACAGGTCGATGGGGGTCCTTGAATGTCCTTCAAGAGGGCCAAGACATACTTTTTTGCAGGGTGTTGTGCCAGGAGAAGCCAGTGCCAGAATGGCACGCGTGGCATTGGGCTTTGGCAAGTGCAGACATCCCACGTGGCGTGCGCCTGCCAAGGTTCTGTCTCGTGTTCCCTTTGAAAGTTACGTTCACGAACCTGGTAGCATAGTAGTGCATGACCCTTCGCATCACGCGTTCGTGAGTGTTCAGGCCAGGCGATCAGCCTCACTTGTCCGGACCCAATCTCAAACCCCGTTCGTCCAAGGATGAAGCACGCAAGAAGAACAACAACGAAGATGAGGCCCGCCACAGCTGCCTCATTCCATTTTGGTCCCCAAGCCCTGGGCCCGGAGCCCTTTAGCAGCTTCCCATCGAAGCACCGAGGGGTCTCCTAGGGTATCTTCGGGCTCGTGGGGGTGTGGACCTCGAAGGTCGAGGATAGAGCCCCCCCCCAATAGACTCAGTAGAGGCCCGCAAGCTGCTCAAGCAACTCAGCAAAGACGACGTCGGTGTGGAGCTCGGCTTGCCGTCACTGCGGTTCCAAGGTTCCCCTCCACCATACAAACACACATACTATATATATATATATATATATATTACTATATATATATATTGCTATATATATATATATGTACAATTTGAATGAACATGCGTATATGCTTCCATTCGCTTATGTGGTATCTGTACATGCCAATGCCAGTATGCATTTCACATGTCTACTTCTTGAACTTTTGTACATATGTTGCACTCTTTCACTGCAGCAAGATTCGAACGCACCACACGCCCTAGACCATTCCAACCCAGAAGCCGGAAGCAAGTAATGTAGGGGTCGGAATATTGACTAATAGTATTCCGTTATGGTCCCGTTTGTATTGAAATATACTATAATCACCCCTAAAGCACTGTTCTAATTATTAGGCCCCTATAGTAGGCCAGTTCCTCACAGCTTACACTGCATCAGGTGCAGAAGATGCAGGTGACAAGACAAACGGTGGCAAGGCGATTGTCTTCCGCCGGTCGTTTTGTGTGCGAGCGGAGATTCTGAATGCAGAATTCCTTGTCGAGCAGAGTGCATCTGCCTTCTTGGACGGGCTGTGTGGCTTGCATGCAGGCCATTGTAGCAAACACCTGGCGTGGATGTGCTCAAATTGTTCCAATTATAAGTCTGATGTTTACGAAGCAGGCGAAAGCTGTGTTGGAGAAGTGGCGAGAGCAGGCAGAGAAGCGACAGCAGCAGGACTGGGTCTCTTAGGCAAGTGATCATGGTGCGTCTCTCCCTGCCGCCCTCCTCTCTCCTTCTCTCTCTCTCTCTCTCTATCGCTCTTTCTGTCTTTCTCTCTCTCTCTCTCTCTCTCTCAGAGCTCCCTTTGATCTCTGACAATCTGAGGTTTCGACCGTTCACAGCAGAGTGGGGAGGTTGCAGTGGGGAGTTGAAACCCATTGAAGCCGAGGGCTATGGACCCTGAAAGTAGCGTCCTGCATCCAAGTCAGCCAGGAAATCAAGCGATCCAACTCCATGAAGTCGGCAAAGGCCTGCAGAAGACAGCCGACATGTGTTGCGTCGGGGGCTTCTCGTGCATGATGCTAGTGCTGAACCCTTGTTACACTCTGTGTGATATTGAGCGATGCACAATGTTGGGCTCAGGAAGAGCGCCTCCCACTTCAACTAGCATCCCTAGCTCCCAAGACCTCCGCAGCAATGGCAGCCGTTTGCCCGATCTGCTTCGAAGAGGGCCAAGCTGTTGAGTATGCAACTTGGCCAGGAATCTATGGGAGAGTGGCTGGGGAGATTCCGGGGGGATCCATTCCTTCGAGGGCCGACGAACCCCAAGATCCCACACGCAAACCTAGCTTTAGCAACAAAAAGCTGAGGCCCACATGCACAACCACAGCTGGCAGAATGTGCGCTGCGATGCCCACGGAATCTGCTGGGATTGCCTCAATCGCTACGCAGCGAGTCCAGCAAGAATGCGGGGTTCAAGGAGTTCTAGGGGGCTTCTCCAGGATTTCAGGCTCGTGTCCGCGAATCTCTTGCACTCCTTGAGGATCCTCAGTAGTTTGTAGGGCCCGCTACTAAACTGTGAGATCGCATGGGCCAAGGTGGAACTGCAGATTCTTGACGAGGGCCGGTTCAACCTGAAATGCCCGGGCATCGGCCACCAAGCTGAAGTGGAGGTGCCCCAGAAGAGGGAGCAGAAGGGCGTGTAGTGACAGTGTAGTGCAATCCCAGACCTTACGTTTCGGCCTCAGGCTAATTCCAGTGAGTGCATTTCTACTTCACCCAAAAATCCGCAAACCCGAAGTCCTTGAGCCTCGCTAAGGCTGTGCCTACCGCCTCCTGCCGCTCGACGTCGAGCGGGCCCTGGAGCGGTCCTCGGCGGAGCGCCAGGAGCTGGCCCTGGCACGCTACAGCAGCATGCGCAGCGCAAGCCGCTCGGCCTCCGACCTGCGTTGCCATGTGGGGGTTTACGAACATAAGGGGCCCCCCCAAAAAGACCCTCCAATAACGCAGGATTCTCTTATGATAAGGATCCCAGTAAGACCCCTAATTTCGGAAGTCCCCATGTCACGAGTATTCTCTGGAAGGCTTCGGCTTAGGGTCACAGAGCTCGGCATAAAGCAGGACCTGAGGTGAGCCTACAACCCCTATAAACTTTACAAACCCCTTAAAACCGCATAAGAACCCACAAACCCCCATAATCCTTGTAAACCCTACCACAACCATGTAAATAAAGACAAACCCATAAATAGCCCCTGTAAAGACATCAAAAACCCTATACCTTAAGCAAACTACAAGAAACCCTCAAGAACCTCCGGAAATCGCTTCAAATACCCTCAAAAAGCCCAAGCAACCCTCTCAAAAGGCCCTAACCACCCTCGGTGCCAGGCCATGGTGAGCGGCTCCGCGAAGTTGTCTTGGGAGCCTCGGGGCCCTCCCAGGGCTGGCTGCTGCAGGAGCCCCCTTTTGGGGGGGGTTTAGGGTTTCGGGTTTGGGGTTTAGGGTTTAGGGTTGCCTAACACAGGGATACCCTTTTGGGAGTTTGATTGAGGTTTCGGGGCTGAGGGCGACTGGGGTTTAGGGCTGTCCGGGTTCCTTATGATAGAATTTGGGGGAAATACTGGGGACCCCCACGCCACATCAGTTGCACTAAGGCCACATGACGAAGTGAAATCGTGATAGCCCTAAACCCTAAACCCTTAACCCTTAACCCGAACCCCTTGTGAAAACCCTAGATCCTCGCAGCCTTCGTGGAGGAGTGCCAAGTGTGCCCGCGTTGCCTTTCTTTGGTTCGACGCGAGGCTGGGTATTGAAATGGTGTCGCCATTTGGAGTGTTGCCTCTTGGGGTGCTTCCCTTTTGGGCTGAGGAGAAATCGCTTGTATCCCTCATCCGTGCGTGTCATCTAGGTACTGGCCTGACAACAGAAGACCATTTGCCTCCAGCCTCCAAACTACAAAGAGAAGCAACTCCCTGTCGGTTATCAGACCGGCTGCAACCACGTCTTCTGCCGCTGCGGCTGTGAATTCTGCGTGGCATGCGGCAGCTGCTTGGCAAGAAAATTCAGGGAGTCGCTTTCAAGGACCGAGGCACCGACACAGACCGACACAGGTGGAGTAGAAGAGGTGGGCCTTCGGAAGGGCAGAACAGGATGAAAGGTGCTTTGTCTAATCAGCTTTGTGGCAGCCGGTCAAAGCGTCGAGGATGTCAGAGTTGCAAGTGTCCTCGTATGCAGTCTGACTTTGTTTGGCCATGAAATCCCCTACAGTCCTGAAGTGGACTGTTCGAAATCCCCTACAGTCCTGAAGTGGACTGTTCCTAAATCCTGGCGATGAACTCCTGATACTCTCTTGGGCTAAGGTCCCGATGAGTGTCTCTGCAGTCAGCTGGTGATGGACCGACCTGAGCAGACCCCATGGTTTACGCCCTAAACCCGTGCCTATGGATTCCAATGGACCCTTATGTATAGTTGGAGTAAGGTGTTGCTCACGCAGTCATATCAATCGCATTGCTTGTTTCTAGTCATGTGAGAAGTATTTACGATCAGGAACTGGCCTGATGATGCCGTATGATTCTTGATTAGGCGACTCATCCATTTCTCTGGATACAGATGCACCTACATATTCTCATGTCGACAGCGAGGAATTAATTATGGTTCCATGGGAACGAACTAAACCAGGGCCGTCTCAGGGATCGCACTGAAGAGATTTGAGGTCTTATTTTGATTAAAAGAAGAACGCCGCTTCTCGATCCTCGAAATTTTCATGATGATAGCTCGACACGACGAGAAATTGTGTCATGCAATTCTCTCTCTTCAAGCTTTGTTGTTCGTTTAAACAATGAATACGTACGTACATATACATATGTATATATATACTTCTGTATACTTGCACCTGTCATTACAGGTGGATTGTGAGTCTTTTCACATCCACTCATTTCCACTGCATCCAAACATCGAGCCAGAATCGTTCTTAATATCATCGCGCCATTCTCACGCATCCCCCTCTTCGTGAAACAAAACAACAGTAGTTGCAGACATTTCAATGTCTGTATGAGTATACTCAGATCATTGCTCAAGTGCCCGCCTTGCTCAGTTCTTTGTTGCGGAAAGGAGAGAGCTTTGGAGTCTCCTGAAAGGAAATGGGAGAGCATTTTTGCATTCTGCTGAGTCTTCGGGATGGGAGAACTCCTCTATTGCCTACTCGGAAATGGGCAAGCTTCTGTGTAACAGAGAGCTTAATGTCTTGGTAGGAGCTGTAGTTCGGTAGAAACTGTCAGCACTAGTGTAAATCAGAAATTAAGAGAAATAGAAGGAACCTGTTCCACTTAGAAATGCGAAGTAAATGGACTTTCTCCTGAGAAGGGATGAGAGAGCTTCTCTATCACGCGGAAATGAGAGAGGTCCTCCATAGCGTATTGCGAAAGCTCCTCATTGGAAATGCGAGAGCTACCCCATGTCGTGATGCAGGAAATGAAAGAGTTTCTGACTCACAACAAGCTCGAGCTTAGGAAACTTAAATTAAGTAGTTTTTTCGAACTCAGATGAACAAGGGAAGCTATGGACAACACGACACAAAACCGGTCTAGATCTACGCGTTTTTTTCTCAACACCGTGGCGGGTGGCGATCTTGTCCATCGTTTTTGGGAGACAACACGACAGAAAAGGGGCGCAAGATGAACAAAGTCTGCTTGGATCCACCCCCCCCCTCCCCCCGAAGCGTGGATCCGGGCAGATGTTGCCCATCGCCCAAACTCGACTGACAAAATCTACTTGGATCTACGTGCTGCGTTTTACTAAAAGTCGAAGGCCTTTGAAGGCCAAGGCTTCAAATGTTTCAACAAATGAGCTCTTACCTTTAAGGAGCGACCCAGAAAATCTTTCCACTTCTTGGACCGGGGAGGAAGCATTTAAAACCGTTGAAAGATCAACGGTTCGTAATGGTGCTGGCTTAACAATTTACAGCCTGTTGCCTTTGAGGAAGAGGGGCGAATTTTAAGTTTCTTGCCCTGTAGTGGAGTAGACCTTTGCATTTTCAGCATGCTTTCAACTGGGCAAGTTTAGTTTCAACAAAGTTTTCTAAATTGCATAGGAACAGCGAGGCTTATGGTTTTTTGGCATTGAAACATAGGGTTACAAGCCCTACAACCCAAACCCTAAAATCCGTGTTGCCTGGAAGGACACAAACATCGTCTTCGCAGCCTGGCTCCGGATTTCCCCGGATTCGCCAGTGGCATGGCTCAAGGATGCTGCGCAGCAGCTTGGACGCAACTGTCCAGTTCGCAGTGTCTACAAGTAGGGTTTAGGGCATCTTAATGCCACCGCAAGCTTACGCGACCGACGGAGTTACAGTCTTGGCAACATACCACCCACCCGGGCATTTTCCAAGGCCCCTTTTACACCCCCCCACCCCAACCCTCCCCCCCCCCCCCCCCCCCCCCCCCCCCCTCCCCACAAAGTTTCGAGGCCTTCCGTACCTGAGCGGCTGCTGACCACTCTGGCCTTTTGGCTGTGGCGACTTGGCCCAGGGTTTAGCGTTCAGGGTTTGGGTTTAGGGTTTATAGGTTTAGGGTTTGGGGTTTAGGAACTTGGGGTTTTGAAATTTCCCGGGTTTCCTGCAAGGTTTGTGGGATTCAGGGTTTGGAGGGTTTAAAGGGTGCAGAGGGGTCCTAGAGTTCAAGGAGTTTATAGGGTGTGTCTGTTTCTAGGGCTTCGGGGTGTTTTGCGTTTTGGGGTTTAGACCCCAACACGAGCACTGGAAGTGACAACCTCAAGTGATCTCTAAATGACCTAAACCCTAAACCCTAAACCCTAAACCCTAAACCCCAAGAAACACTCAAGGATGGCCTACATCCCAGTGGATGTGCCATGGGCGCGTGCCTTGGAAGAAGAGCCGGAAGCAGAGCTTCCCATCCCGCCGCTCCGGTGGCGCAACAATGAGGGCGAGTGGCGCCTTGTCAGCACTTCCTTCCTCAGGAGGGTTGATGTTTCGAGTTTCCAGGGTCCACCGTTTATTGGTTTCGACCTTACATGAAACGGGGCTTCTGAACATAGGGGTACTTCTTAGTTTGGGGGGGGCGGCCCTTTAAAGGGATTCCGCGCGTTCGCGTGCGCATCACACCTCAGCACCACTCACCACTCGAGAACATGTGTTTTAAGTGGCAACGCGCACCATTTTCGTGTATTCGGGGCATGGTACTGCAGATAGGTTTTCGAACTGACAGTTTTTTTGAAAAGGCCACCGTGCGCTGGTGCCTAGGCTTCGGGCTGTTTCAGGACTGGGGGGGGGGTTAAAGGTGTCGAAGCCGTTAGCGATGCTCCTCGTTTTCTTGCAGCACTCGCTGTCGGAGTTTTTGGAGCTGTGGGATGTTCTCGCTAGCACGACAAGTTGGGAGTTCGGTTTTGAGGCAAGGTTCCAGGATCGTGCCATGCAGAATTTCTGAATCGAATCGGAGTGAGCCTGCTGAGGCTATACATCAACGAGGAGGTCGCAGACTTGGGCCTGTCTGAGCTACCATGCAGAATCAATCCCTGCCTCAAGCCAGCTTGAACATGTGGTTCGGTGAGCATCCGATAGCATTGGTGCCTTCAATACCAAGCCATTTCGTTGCGGAGACGGGGAAGGACCACTGTTTCCCTGTGAGGAGGCGTTCGAGGAAGCCTCCTTCGCACAGGCTGGACATGGGAGAGAGCATCCATTAGGTGGCAGTCGGTGGCTCCATCTGCTTCATGCATGTCGGCGTGATGCATGACAATCTATGGCCAAGGAGGGGGAGGGGCGGGAGTGGCGACCGTAGCGCCAGCTACAGCCCGCAACCCTGCAGATCGTCCACCATCCGGTGGACCGCTTCTCGCCCTTGGCCTACGTCGATGGTGAAGAGGCGGAGGCTGGAAGGGGTCGATGGCTTCTGGAGGCATCCGAAGATGTTGCTTGAAATTGCAGCTTTGAGGCCAGCACGGGTTGCCATGTTTCGTGACGGCTGGGGATGAAAGGCCTCAGTCCTCCCAAGAAGCAAGTTAGGCTTCGCTCTTCCACCCCGTAGGATCTGAGTCATATACGGAGGTGACCACCACAATGGCAAAGTTATCTCATTGAGCTTCAGTGGATACCAGGGCATGTGGCAGCATTGTACTGTGCACGGTCGTGGCGTGCCTTTCTGGTTGTGCACACACACGCACACACCCGCGCGCGGTGTATATACATATTATTCATCCGTACATGCGCATACAGGCTCACCTCATGCACTGGAATGCCCTGATCGGTCGATCTGTCAGGGGAGGATAAATCAGGTTTGGCAAGTTGGTTGTTGGGGGGGCCTTCTGGAAGTCAGTGCTCGCTTGCTGCCCTTAAACCCCTTCATATATAAGCCTCTCTGTAACCCAAATCCCTCCTATTACCATAAACCTTACATTCTACAACCCTCTAACCCTAAAATCCTAAAATCCTGAACCCCGGTCGAGACCCTAAATTCCCAGGACTTTTTCCAGGACTACCAGCGCGCGCCCCGTCGGCCCTGGAGGCTCTTTGCCACCCAACGCGCCTCGCGGCGTCAGGACGGATGCCAGGTGTCTCTCTGTCGTTGAACCGGTTGAACTGACCCAAAGCCCAAAGCCTACATCCTAAACCCCAAAAGCCTTAAACGTTGAACCCTAAACCTTATGTAGCCTACGGGTGTTCGGGCTTAGGGGTTCTAAGGTCAAAACCCTACACGTCTTCGTAGTGATGCAAGGGCTGAGAACGTGTTGGACGTGGAAACCTCCGAAGCAACGTTTTGCCAACGTGAAGACCCGACCCTTAGGATGTAGGGTTTAGGGTTTAGGGTTTGGGTTTCTGGTTTAGGCTTTAGGGCCTTAGGGGTTAGGGGTTAGGGCTACAGGACCGGCATCATTACGTGCCGCTGCGCTGGAAAGACGTGCGACCATGGACTGGCGGCTCGGGGGCTGCTTGCAGGTTTTAGGTTTGAGGGCTCTTTAGGGTTTAGGGCTTAGAGTTATCTAGGGTTCCGGGCTTTGCGTTAAGGATTCCGGGTTTAGGGTTTTTTTGGGGATGAGGGCTATGTTAGGCTAAGAGCCTAAGAGCAGCCTGAAGCCCCCAGCCCCCCCCAAACCCCTCGATGCACTTCAATTCCTGTTCATCGTTGTAGTAGTAGTCGTCGTCGAGTACTATCCCCCCCTTGATTTGCTTTAAAGAGGCACATGCCAGCACCGCACAATGAATGATTGAAACGCCCAAGCATTTCAATACCTTGAGCACTGAAGCCCGAACGCTTCAGCCCGAAAGCCCTAAAGCTCAAAAGCTCAAAAAGCCGCAGCTACCCTATGCCCGAAACCTGAGGCCTTAGATGTCAGTTTAACGTAAAAGACCTATAAGGGCTCGAGTTGAAAGAGGCCTTGAAGCTTTCGGTCGTTTAGGTTCCTTCCAGCCTTCTAAGGGCCCTAAGAGCTTCCTTGAGTCAGGTTTAGGCTTTAGGCTTCTGGGCCACCCCAACAATGCACGGTACAGTTTCAGGAATCTCCTGGACTCCTAGGCTACCCAGTGAAAATTACTTTGGGGGCCTTTTTCTCTGGATATATTCGCCGTTTAGATCACCCAATATTTGAGATTGCAGAGACGGCAAGTGGCAGGACAGCCATGGTACTAGCAGTTGAACAGGCAGAACTCTTCCCCTGACAGCAAGCCCTTCACCCCTCCTGCCAGTATCAGATATTCGTATGTTGTATGATATTGTCGTATGTATAAACTAGAGGATGGACTGGCAGAATGTCTTGCGGGAGGAACGGATCTCTGGTTTCTTCCTCAACAGGTTCTGACCTCAGTGCCGCCTTTGCCCCATCCTTGAAGGTGATGACGCAGCCGCGCCCCTTCGACGTCGAAGGCCCGCGGGAATGCTCACTAGTTCTTAGGGAATTAGGGATATTCAGTACCTTCCACCCCCCCATATACGTTAAAGGATTGTGTGGGGCAGCTAAGGCCGGTGCTAGGTCCTGCGGCTGGCAAATTGCCGCAGAAGTTAGCATTATGCGTACACTAGACCGTGCGCAGTGCGCACACCTCTTGCTTCCCTTTCACATCTTGGTGTGTCTGCCCTACTGGTATCTTGCAGAAGACGCAAGCTGATTCTTGTTGTCGGGGTTGAGCCAGAGGCAGCCGCGAGCTGTGGCGGCGGGCGCCCGCGCTGCAGAACAGGCTGCAGCCGCCGCACGCAAAGTGCAGGTCACGGGAAAGGGCGGGATGCCATGCAACATGCATTGTCCTCGTATACGGATGCTCGCTATGTACACCAAAGTATATGGAGTATCCTGAAATGGAGCCCCAAAACGGGTTCCTTTTCCAAACAAATTGCTGCTAGCTTGCAACACTGCGGCCCTAGGAGCTGCGCCGCCGCCGCCAAAAGTCAAGGAGATGCTTCAGGGAGGAGCTTGTACAGATGGAGTAGGGGAGGAGGCTTTGAGTAGCAGAGCGCATTTTTGCTTAGGGCTGGGAGCGTCTGGGGTGGCTACCTGCACAGATGTGCTCCGTTTCATTATGTTACTATGTTCCAAGATCATGAACTCCAGCGGTCAAGTCGCTGACTTCGTGTGAACTGTACAGTGTACAGAGATGATACGAGAATGCAAGTGTTCCATGATGAGATCGTGAACTCCAGCGGTCAAGTCGCTGATTTGGTGTGAACTGTACAGTGTACAGAGATTATTCACAAAAACACAAAAGATTATTCAAGAATGCAAGAGTCGCGACTCAATGTCAGAACAGCTGCACCTGCGTGCCGGATATATTGCAGCACTGCCCCTGGCCCTCCCTCATCTTACAGGAGGACTGGCCCAGGTTTTTTTCGCAGTCAGGCATGCTTCCCACGTCACACCTCTGTCGTCTTGGAAGGCTGCTTCTGAAGAGCTTCCGCCTGGCTGGACGAAGCATTGGTCAAGTTCAAAGCAGCGGTTCTACTATCACGACGGCAAGACAGGCCTGGGTAGGAAGCACACGCATGTGCAGCTTCTGACCAAGTTGTCCGTAATGTGCTTGACTTGATTGAGACTGATGCAAGGTGTCTTTTGCCATTCTCTGCCCAGGCAAAAACAGCTGGTCCTTTCCGTCGAAAAGCTGAAGTCGGGACTGGGAAAAGAGTGCGACTGCATGCTGGTGGAACGATGTCCACTTGTAGTTGTAGTTCCAGCGCAGGACGCATCATTGTAGGTGGTCGTTGCACACGGGCCTTATTGCAAATATTATTGCCCGTGAAGCATTACAGCCTTTGTTCTTGATAATAATTCTGATAATATTTGCACCTTTATTAATATATTTATGTAGGGTCTTTATTCATATTAGCATTGCGGGCTGATATCACTTAAGCGACCTTTCACGCCGTGTTAAAAGCTCTCTATCTATCCTACGGTATTATTGCCTCCGAGAACAACCGTATCATCCCAAAACTTGGAGCCCTTAATCATTTAAAATTTTGTTGTTACCGCCTCAAAGACCCTACAAATGCACCATATTTGAATAGGCTTTACAAGGCACACGTGAAATCCCAGCAAAATAGAGTGAATTCAATGGCGTTTTTGGTGGAGCACTAAAAGCCTCTACAATGCTTTTATTTATGCGCGCGCGCGAACTTTCCGCAATAGTTGATACTAATAATGTTGGGACTTGTGCGCTTCAATCTCTAGCTCCGTGGATTTGGGGCTGGG